GGCTTCAAGCTGGAGGGGAACAGATTTAGACTGGAGATGAGGAGAGGGTTCTTCACTGGGAGGGTGGTGGAGCACTGGAACAGGTTGCCCAGGGAGGTGGTTGAGGCCCCATCCCTGGAGATATTCAAGGTGAGGCTCAATGAGGCCCTGGGCAACCTGGTCTAGTTGGGGGTGTCCCTGCTGACTGCGGGGGGGTCGGACTAGATGACCTTTAGAGGTCCCTTCCAGCCTGGGCAATTCTATGATTCTATGATGTGCCCAAGGACAAGGTGCAGACCAGTAAATGACAGAGGGCAAGGAACTGGGTGGTGGGGTGAGGGACACTGCCTGGCTCAGTCGGTGCGGTGTCCAGGAAAGGGGTTTCACAAGAGGGCGCTGGGTGGCTGTGGCTGGTGGCAGGGCTCAAGCTGCCAATGTCATTTTTGACGCTTGCAAGGGACAGCTGGGTTGGAGCACAGGCAGGTCTGGGAGATGCAAAGAGCAGGGCAGGTTGGGGACGGAACCTCATGGAAGATGAGGAGTGGAGAAACGTGGCCCCGAGGGATGGTTTGGTGGTCCTTTCTGCCTGGAGTTATGATGGATCCACGTCCCTGGAGGACAGGCTGCAGAGACCTTCCCAAAGTCTCTCACCAAAACAGGTGGGGACAGGCAAGATACCAACACCCAGATGTTCCCATGCATGCCCCATCCTGACCCCACAGGCTTTGGGATGCCCTGACCTGCCCCATAAGCTCACCCTATGGATCTGGGATCAGGCTATCCAAAAAAGGTGGCCAGTCATCACGAAGCGGTCAGGGAATGAGGACCCTGAGGGTAAGAGAAGATGGACTGGTGGTATGGTAGAGCTGGAAAGGGTTTCCATGGGTACCAATATGTCTAAAGCAATACTGGCTTTTGCTAAACTAACACCACGGTTCTGCCCCTGTGTCCTACAGCCCCTTCCACCGTGTGTCCTGGATGTCTACAGAACTGGTCTGGACAGTACAGGATCTTGGAGTGTACCAAGCACAAGACAATCTGGCTTATTTTGGAAATCTGGACCAAAAACCACCTAAGTTGGGCAGATGGGGACCCGAGGAGTCAAAAGAGTCCTTGCATCTCCACCTAGCCGAGTTCTTTTTTGCCTCATCCTCACACACGGCCTTGCCCCACACACGTTGTGTCATCTGGACTTACCAGCCTCCTCTGAGGTTTGAACAAGGGCCGGTTGATGCCGTTCTGAAGGCCTTACCCCGTGGAGCTTCATGTAGAGGCCGCAGGCATTACAGACAGGCTCTCCCTCAGCGTTTCGGCGCCAGAGGGTGGTCGTCGTTGTCTGGCAGTTGGCACAAGAGAGGCCAACGCGGCGGGAAGCCGACTGCGAGAAGAGGCAGAGGAAGAAAACACATCAACCCACCAGCAGCATCTCAGATCCCAGTGAGACCCCTCCAGAACACCTCAAGCTTTCCTCTCCTCTTGCCTCCCTTATTTCTGTCTGTCTTTTTCTCTTCTTGTGGGGTTTTCCAAGCCTCACCCCAAGGCTGTGCAGAGTTAACAGCATGTGTTGCTCGTTGCTATGAAGGACCAAGCCTGGTACCCAATGAGCCATCATCGAACACACAGCAGGTCCAGAGAGGTGATTCTGCCACTTTACTCTGCTCTGGTGAGACCTCACCTGGAGTATTGTGTGCAGGTCTGGAGCCCTCAATATAAGAAGGACATGGACCTGATGGAGAGGGTCCAGAGGAGGGCCACAAGGATGATCAGGGGGATGGAGCACCTCTGCTACGAGGACAGGCTGAGGGAGCTGGGGTTGTTCAGCCTGGAGAAGAGGAGGCTCCAGGGAGACCTAATAGCAGCCTTCCAGTACCTGAAGGGAGCCTACAGGAAGGCTGGGGAGAACCTGTTTAGAAAGGCCTGCAGTGACAGGACGAGGGGCAATGGCTTCAAGCTGGAGGGGAACAGATTTAGACTGGAGATGAGGAGAGGGTTCTTCACTGGGAGGGTGGTGGAGCACTGGAACAGGTTGCCCAGGGAGGTGGTTGAGGCCCCATCCCTGGAGATATTCAAGGTGAGGCTCAATGAGGCCCTGGGCAACCTGGTCTAGTTGGGGGTGTCCCTGCTGACTGCGGGGGGGTCGGACTAGATGACCTTTAGAGGTCCCTTCCAGCCTGGGCAATTCTATGATTCTATGATGTGCCCAAGGACAAGGTGCAGACCAGTAAATGACAGAGGGCAAGGAACTGGGTGGTGGGGTGAGGGACACTGCCTGGCTCAGTCGGTGCGGTGTCCAGGAAAGGGGTTTCACAAGAGGGCGCTGGGTGGCTGTGGCTGGTGGCAGGGCTCAAGCTGCCAATGTCATTTTTGACGCTTGCAAGGGACAGCTGGGTTGGAGCACAGGCAGGTCTGGGAGATGCAAAGAGCAGGGCAGGTTGGGGACGGAACCTCATGGAAGATGAGGAGTGGAGAAACGTGGCCCCGAGGGATGGTTTGGTGGTCCTTTCTGCCTGGAGTTATGATGGATCCACGTCCCTGGAGGACAGGCTGCAGAGACCTTCCCAAAGTCTCTCACCAAAACAGGTGGGGACAGGCAAGATACCAACACCCAGATGTTCCCATGCATGCCCCATCCAGACCCCACAGGCTTTGGGATGCCCTGACCTGCCCCATAAGCTCACCCTATGGATCTGGGATCAGGCTATCCAAAAAAGGTGGCTAGTCATCACAAAGCGGCCAGGGAACGAGGACCCTGAGGGTAAGAGAAGATGGACTGGTGGTGTGGTAGAGCTGGAAAGGGTTTCCATGGGTCCCAATATGTCTAAAGCAATACTGGCTTTTGCTAAACTAACACCACAGTTCTGCCCCTGTGTCCTACAGCCCCTTCCACCGTGTGTCCTGGATGTCTACAGAACTGGTCTGGACAGTACAGGATCTTGGAGTGTACCAAGCACAAGACAATCTGGCTTATTTTGGAAATCTGGACCAAAAACCACCTAAGTTGGGCAGATGGGGACCCGAGGAGTCAAAAGAGTCCTTGCATCTCCACCTAGCCGAGTTCTTTTTTGCCTCATCCTCACACACGGCCTTGCCCCACACACGTTGTGTCATCTGGACTTACCAGCCTCCTCTGAGGTTTGAACAAGGGCCGGTTGATGCCGTTCATCTTGTGGTAGAGCCCGCAGGCGTTGCAGAGGTAGTGCCCCGTGCCGTCTCTCCTCCAGAGCGGGGTGGACATGGCCCCGCAGTTGACACATTCTCTCCCCTCTGAATAGTCATCAAAAAATTCTGCTGCCATGATGGGAGAGAAGGGAAAAGATGTGGTTAATTAGGCAGCTTGCTTTATTTGTTTATTTAATTATTTAATTTCTGGCCTGGTTCTCAATATTTGAGGCCAGAAGTGGCATTTCAAGGAATCGCAAACGTTCATATTTTACAGGGTGCAAGAAAGAGCTCTTCCTTTCTCAATTTACAGGGTGCAAGAAAGAGCTCTTCCTTTTTCAAGGGAGCCCCCGGGATTATCGGGAAAGAGGAACCCCTTTCCCTGCCATAGAGTGTTGGCTGCAGGACTTGTGTGGCAGCAGGGATGTGCTGGGACACGGATAGGAAGGGACAGAAATAGAAACCTCTCCTTCTGCTCTGACGTTATCCAATTTTCAAGATTGGACATAGCCAGGGCAAACAGATTGGGGCGGGCAACCAGCCCTGTTTGCAATCAAGACAAATTGCCTGCGACCACGGACAAACTCAAGCCCGGACCCACGATACAGAACTGCCTGGAGATCAGAGAGCTGCCCTAGCATCCCTCAACGGGACTCAAGGAAATGTGGGCAAGGAAAGCCATGCCTGTATGCCCTGCTGCCTCGCAGGACTTCTCCTCACCCAGCCCGTGCCAGATCCCACCCTCTGCAGAGGGGAATGTCTGCGGAGAGCCAAGAGGGAGAGCAGTTCACGTGCCTTCACCCTTTTCTCTGCACGAGAAGCATCTCCTGAACTACAAGAATCATAGAATGGTTTGGGTTGGAAGGAACCGTAAAGATCATCTTGTTCTAACCACCCTGCCCTGGACAGGCAGAACTGCCACTAGACCAGAGTACTCAAAGGCCCATCCAGCCTGGCCTTGAACACCTCCAGGAACACACATGGACAACCCTAGGTCAGGCTGTCAGCTAACAGACAACATTGGGGGTTCACAGGTATCACAAAAACTCAGCTTTTCATGCAAATATCCATCCTGCTTGATGTCACTCTCCAGGGCTCTCCAGGAACACACATGGACAACCCTAGGTCAACATCATTGAGGGTTCACAGGTATCACAGAAACTCAGCTTTTCATGCAGATCTCCATCCTGCTTGATGTCACTCCCCAGGGCTTGGTGCATTCACCCACCACATTCCTGATTCACACTCCACTGGGGCCCAGCCACAGCTGTACTATGAGGGTGAGGACAACTGCCCTGGGCTGGGCCAGTCCAATCCCTCTGGCTCCGGCAGGTCCACATCATCTGCGAGGCGGTGCAGAGGTCAACACAACACACCTTGACTGCATCATCATTTGGAAAGACACAGGTCAGCTCAGCCTTGACACAATGCCCTCAAGAAGCCGAGAACTTCATCTAATAAAATACAAGCATCACCTACAGGCCTTGTTGAGAAGAATCATAGAATTGTCTAGGTTGGAAGGGACCTTTCAGAACATCTAGTCCAACCATCAACCTAAGACTGACAAAAAAACATCACTAAACCCTATCACTAGCATCCTGCCCTGGAAAATGTGTGTTGCTGATGGTCGTCCCACCTGGAGAGTACTGAGTTCAGCTTGGGGATGTATTTTTTCTGTTACAAAACCGTTCCTTCCTGCACATGGACGTGTTCTGTTGTGGACACCAGAAAGGGAACAGTAGATGATGAAATAATTTGGGAGAAGAAGAAAGTGACAAAAGACAAAAAAGTGCCCTGTTTCTTAGTGTAGGCTGGGATTAAACCAAGCTGCTGAGAAAATTCCCAGCAAACAGGAGATGGTTGGAGGATGGCAAGAGCTTTGCATCAGGAGACCTTCAACCATTACAGAGCAGCATAACATGAATTCATAAAATGTTACTGTGCATCTGGCTGTAATTTGTGCTTGGCCACCTGTTTGTTATAGGAATAGATCAGCTTTCTGCTGGAAGACAATAGTTCCCCAAAGAGCAAACCAACAAAATTTGGCTTCTTGCTGATCTGTGTCTCGATCCCATGTGGATCATTTGCTGTCTAATACAGGTTATGTTCAAACATCAGCCTTGTTTTCTCTTTTCTCCAGACTATTTTTGGAAAACCTGCAGGAAACAACATAATCATGAAACAGCCAAAGGATTAAAAAATTGCTAAAGTGGTGCCAGTAAACAGAGACACAGAGAAAAAGATTAGTGTGAGCCTAATTCTCCCTGGAAAACCAGGCTAAAAATGGCATGAGATTACACCATGTGGACAGGGGAAATACTAGAAATACTAGAAAACAGTAAATGAGTGTATCCATGGGGCTCTGGAACCAGAAAAGAAGGAATCCAGTATCTTCTCAGCAGTTTAGGACAATCTCATTGCCTTTGAGCAATTCTGGTGGCTTAGGAAAGCTGGGAATCCCTCCAGGTGATTTTTGTACACGTGGATTCAGTGATACGTTAACCATAATGCCTCACTTTCCCCTTTAAAATCACGATTGAATCACAGCCAAAATCTAGATCAAATAAACTTCCTTTGAAAAGAGAAGGGACTGGAACAGCTGGTCAGGAAAGAACTAATTTCCTTGAAAAATCTCAAGAAAGGAAAACATTTCACTATTTATTTTTTTCATCTTAGAAGTTGTTGAGGTTTTTTTCTTCTTTTTTTCTAAAGAAAAAGCCAAATTATTTTCACAGTAATTTTTGTCTTGTGAGAAAATCCCTCCTACTTTGAAAATAATTCAGTACAAAGTTGTTGACATAATCCAGGGAGAATTTAGCAGAACAGAGGTAGTCCAAAGGTAACAGTTAAAAGACTTGATCAATTTGAGTTGTGCCTGTGACTAATTACAAAACGTCATCTTTGCTGGAGATTTTTCCACCAGAAAACCAAAAATCTGAAAGTTTTTAATGAAATAAAAAACGAGGAAATTCCCAGCAGTCCCTCAGAAATGTTAAGAGTGGGATTATCTCTTGAGTTAGAAGGTCCCTCAAAATGGGTGTGATAGGAAGAAATGTCAAGTATGGGTGGGTAAGCTTCTGTTTTTAGAAAAAAATAAGAGGATGTGGAGTTGAAACCAGGCAAACCATAAGTCTCTTAGTTTCTGACAATAATCAAATTTGCTGAGTGTTATTTCCTAAGAGTTTGTGTGACACCCAGCTCCACTGTCCATGTTATTTTTTTTACTGTTGGTTTGTCAACAGGCATCCAAAATCCCAGTGCAAAGCAGTCGTGAGACTTCCTCCCTTTCCTCGCCTTTTTTCAACTATTTTTGTTCGAGCTATGTTCTTTGCTACTTGTCTGGGGTGGTTTGTTCAGTTTCCGTGGGATTTGGACTGGAGCTTCTCTCTTGAGGGACTTTTGTTGGTTTAATTTTTAAAAAAAAAACAAAACAACCCTTCTTCTGCTTCTGTAGTAATAACATTTGTGTGGTTTGTGTCTCAGCTGCAGACAAAGGTGATCCTTGTCAACGTTAGTAAACAAGATTTACTGGTGCTTGAGATGGGGAAGGAACAGAACTTTGATCCCTGGGCACATTGAGGCTCCACGCAATGGGTGGCTCTCCTTAATGGCAGCCCTGGTGGGGTGATATCAGATGGGTGCGTCCCTGGCACGCACCACCCAGTGCTGAGTCAGAAGATGACATCTGCAGAGTGCAACCTCATTAAAACCATTCCTGCAGCCCTGTCAGCGCAGAGGGAGCTCCTTGACCTCAAGACATCTCACCTGGAGGAGAAATATCCTTTCCTGCTTCAAAGTATGCTTGGTGATGACAAAGGTTGTGTCTTGGACACTCCAGCCAGTGTAGGGTCCATCTATCCAACTTGCTCAGAGGTCACGTAGGCTTAGTGCATGCTTGTTAGTGAACTAAGGGCATTTGGGCCCAGATGGAGAAGTGGAAGGGAAGGGACTGGATTTTTTTCTAAAAGAAGTGCCACCACAATTTCACAGCATCACTAAACTCAGGGATGAAGTTGCCAAGAGGAGCTTTCTGAGCTGGCCTTCTGGCCACACAGCTGAGACATCCCAGCTGCTCTTGAAAACCAGAGGGATGGAGAAGTGGAAGGGAAGGGACTGGATTTTTTTCTAAAAGAAGTGCCACCACAATTTCACAGCATCACTAAACTCAGGGATGAAGTTGCCAAGAGGAGCTTTCTGAGCTGGCCTTCTGGCCACACAGCTGAGACATCCCAGCTGCTCTTGAAAACCAGAGGGTCTACAAAACAATGAGAAAGTATCACCTGAAGGGCAGCAAGCCCTGCCGTTTGATGTGGGCGGGTGTCCAAGACCTACTAAACCCAAATGCTCAAAATGACTGCTTGTTTCTGAAGATCTGGGCCATGGTCTTTGCCTTGCCTCCTTCCCCCAGCAGCATAGCTGGGGGCAAGACCCCCTCCCCGTGCCTGGGTGCTTGTGAGAAGAGACCACAATCTCTGAGGTCCCTACCAAGACAAGCCCAGCGCTCAGAGCCCACAGGAACCGTGATCCACCATCAAGCTGAGCTATACTGGGGATGGAGGTCACTGGGCTTCGAGTGCACTGATTGTTTAATTTGCCACTGTTATTAATAACGGGGATTAAGGTGCAGCAGCCTGCCGGCTCCCCAGGGAAAAAAAAAACAAAACAAAACAAACAAACAAAAAAAAAACCCAACAGCAAAGTGTTTTCTTGGCTTCTGTCTCAGGGGCTGGAGCTCTAAATCCTGGCATTATGAGATCCCCTGACACTTATTCCTTGTACTTAGCAGCCGGGAAAGGAAACGTTTATTCAGGCAGCAAATTGCCCGAGCGGCTCCCGGAGGGCCCTGAACAATGCGGGGGGAAGGAAAAGCTCCCCCAGTCGCACTCAGGGCAATAATTTCCGTTTTGTGGCACAGGAGCCGCTGCCTGATAATGGAGATTTATGGGTCCCTCTGGTGACCTCTGCAATAGCCTTTCTGCTGGAGAGATTTACTCCCTCTCCCGAAGCCAGGTACGGGACAGGGTTGAGGAAAGGCTAAAGTCTACCGGTCAGACCGAGAAGGACACAGGTCCATGGCTGGAGTGGCCTCGTGTGCTGAATGGCCTCATCTTCCTCTTTGAATGTACAGC